ATAACTATGATGAATGGCCAAACTCTTTCATCACACAGCGTAAAAATTCTTTGATATTTAACGAATAAGTCTTTTGTTTTTTTGCAGGATGAGGTATGAGTGACATTTTAAATGTATGACAAAGAAAACAACTTCATCAAATGTCTAACAAAAACAGAAATAATCTAACGTTACACAGTTGTGGACAGGTTAAGATAGACATAATTAGAAAGAATTGACGGGAGATACACAGGTCAACATATACATTAATTTAGGTATCTTTGGCGTGAACAAATTGACCAACAATTGACCTGCAATTGGCATAAAATTGACATTTTCGCATAAATCAGGACAGTGCAACAGAGAAATCGTCAATCCCTAGAGTGTTTTTTTTTTTTTTTTTTTTAATATTCATTATTCACATCTGGAAATGTATATTTATTTTCCACACATCTGTTCAAAAATCCACACATAGCTCAGTAAACTTACATCAAACAAGAACACGCAGAGTGAGTGTAGCTAATAACAGCTAGCTGAACACACTGCCCTAATGGTCATCCGTTAGTTTTTATTGTACCTGCCAAAGTATATACAATATATCATAGACCAACAATCATGCGTCTCACTTTGCTGGACACAATCCCGTATTCTGATTTCTGAATACACATTGTTTATTGGAAAATAGACTACAATGTTAAGGTAAAGTGTACAACAACATAAGCTATAGTCGCAAAACAATAGTTCCATCCTGATATCTGTTTTAACGTTTAGTATTACCCCCTGTTTATAGAAGATGAAGCACCCAAAAAGGAGTGTTCCTGATTTTTTTTTTAATTTTTTGTTTAATTATCTTTTCCAAAATTGTATGACATAAACATATATATATATACATACAATGTACATGATCGTCTAGAATCGCCTTTGAATAATGTACATACTGTTCAAAATATTCGATCAAGTATCAATATTCGTCATACATATATATTAACAAATATGGGACAAGGAAGTAATTCCAACAGTTAGTCCGAATTATTCTGACGTTTTATCGACTTTTTTTCATATCGGTCTGTCGTTAATCGACGATAGACCGATATGAAAAAAGTCGATAAAACGTCAGAATATTCGGACTTTCCAACAGTGTGAACTACTTCTTTACCAAGATACTATTTTATACTATCAACCCTCGGGTCGGAGATTTTTGTTTTGTTTTGATTCTTGTCATTACTTCGAGCTATGTTGAATTCGATCAGAATTGAATGTCATGAAATGTATCACGTTTACCTTACTGAAGTATTTCGATTTTACACTGACATGTAGTAAGCAGTATTCGCTCACTTATAATGTAGGAGATTATAAACAGATGTCGGTTTGTACGTACGACAATACATTTTATACGTATATAAAACTAACAACATTTATATATGAAAAGCTTAACCCTTATGTTTTTTATGAAGTAAAGCAAGGTTTATTTTAGCCTAACTTCGTCCCGCTCGAACTCTTGCCTCTATAGGAACAGGCAAGTACGAAATTCTGTTCAAATGTTTTCTTACATGATTTAATAGTTCGATAGATTCCTATAACGAACCATGCACCTTGTATTCAATTAATTGGTATAATTTAAACTATCTGTATTTTAATATAGATTCTTTATTAAAAAAAATGAATAAAAATACAATAGAGACTCAACACAAATCTATAACCTGCCCTTCTTTTAGATATTTCCGTCCCACTGTCAACAGTTGTTTTCATAAATTGGAAATGTTTACCGGTATGCAAATAGCTTCAAAAACTCATACATAATGGAACTTTTATGAAAAGTTACAAATATGAAAAAACATCTACAAAAAGGACAGTATTTTGACAGCAAAAATGCAACGGTCTGTCCCGTAAATTCGACCTTTCCCAATACCATAAAATATTTATTATATAATACAGGCTATTTCCGTGCAATATTGCCGTTCAATAAAAACGATATAGCACACGTACAATAAACATGCAAATGAGTCTTGTCACCGTGTGAAACAGGTCATATTCCTACGCACGACAACTTCTGCGTTTGTAAACAAATTGGCTGACCGAGTAACTGTTTGTTTGCATTGATAGCAGAGGCATGGAGAATGAAATTAACAAAAGAGTTTAATAAATTCAATATTATATAAACACGAGTGTTAGCTTCACAGAAATTCAACACATGCATGTTCATATTCCACTTGAACTTCTCCGACATACACACAATCAGTTGCGAACACGTGTAACCGGTCAACTTCATCAGTGTTCCAGTTTCATGGCGGATTCAATAGTATATTTTCTGGCTCAGTGACAGGCGGAACATCGAGGTTCACATTCACCAACAACCCTCTCGAAAGAAATGCGCTTGTGTTATAGAGATTGACAATCACTCCAGTCCCTGTAAACTTTTAAAAAGTGCAGACTTCGATGTGTATTGTGATGACCTTTACCTTGACAGTGCACGCGCCGTTGTGCCAAATATGTGACGTCACTGCTGTTTTCGTAAACGTCAATTCGTTATATGGTTTTCGTATAAAAAAATAATATTAATGTTGTTATGATAATTATTAAAACATTGGTTGATGAAGAAAACCTAAATGATTGTTTGTTCATTGAAAAGGTTCTCGAGAAGTTTCTGAAACTATTTTTTTGTGGCGCACATGCTCCAAACAAAATGCATGTAATGCGTCCTTTCGTCAGCCATCGGTACAATTTATATAGAGGAGACCTGTCAAGAAAAAGAGTGTTTCTCGAATTATATAATAAATATAATCTTACACTCGTGGTCATGTAATATTGAATTTATTAAACTCGTTTATTAATTTCATATGAAATTAATAAACTCGTTCAATAAATCAAATATTACATGAATACGAGTGTCAGATCCTCTATATATAATTTTCATTATTGCAAATAAGAAGTAAGGACGCTCTTATACAAAGATTGAGTCAGCCAATGCGGAGAGTAAAACGAACATTTTACAACAACATATGGCATTTTCATCCATTTAAGACTCATCACTTGTACTCCTTGTCAAAAGAATGCAAATCCATCAGTTAAAATCAAATGGTTGACTTAATGGTTTTGACATACTTCCCTTAAGTTTGCGAACATTTGCATTACTTTGCTAATTGATATATTGTGATTAAATGGAATAGATTTGAGAGAACAAGCAAATTCAAAGCAATAATGAAATATATGAATTCAAATAAACTATAATATAAATAACTTATTTCATCATGAACATTGCAAAGTATTTCTTGTAACCTGCAATCCAATAGCCAATATATACTTGCACACCAAATCTGGTTCCTCCATGTGAAATTGTGTAGAAGATGTGCTCCAGATCATTTTTAAAGGATAAGGTGAAAGGTCAAGCATAGTTCACAGTAACCTTCTTTTTATACTTGGCACTCCGCCATCAAAAGATCTATTTGCGTACTAAATCTGTTTACTCTATGTGAAAATGTATAGAAAATATACTCTAGGACAATTTTATCAAAGGTAAAGATCACAGGTCAAAATATAGGTCACCGTCCCTTTTGTTAAAGACATGACACTCCACCATCCCAAAATGTAATACCATATCAAATATGGTTACTTCAGGTAAAATAGTATAGAAAATGTGCCCCAGACAAACTATTTTCAAATGTTGAGGCCAAAGATCAAAACATAGTTTACAGTATACATGACACTCCATCATCCCAAGATGTATTTGCATACCGAATGGGTCTAATCGAGGTTAAATAATATAGAAGATTGCCTCAAACAAACTTTTAGAACGGACGGACGGAAAGCAAACCTATAGCCCGCAACGGGAACCGTTGGGGACTAAGAACAGACTCTATAACACTTGGCATTGTGTGAGACTAGATACTGTTACCTGTATTCCAAGTAGATAACTCAAAGTTTTAACACAACAGGTAAACAATTAAATTTAATTAATTAGCTTGAATTCACCGATTGTATAAGATTGGGAAAGACCAACTATAATTTTGGCATACGAGGCAAAGTAAAAACAGATAAAAGCACATGAAAATACCTGCCATTACGTCCGGGTTGGTAGTGCTTTGCTTATGTGCCATATTAGTCTAAATATTATACACGACCAGGTTGGTGCGTTATGGGGTAAAAGTTAGTCTACACTTAACTATTCGCACATGTATCAATTTCCAGAAAAACCCCCACCCAAAACCCCCAAAAACAAAAATATCAAACAAAAAAAACCGAACATGTCTCTAATTTCTTGGGAGTCAATCTACAATCGGGAACCGTCGGTTGTTTCTGTTAACGGGACATTTTGTATGCGCAAACGAATCCCAATAGTTTCCCTGTACTCCCATGATCACCGCAAGTGGGAACGTTGTTCTAGCTACTGTCATTGATATTTAAAACGTTTTCGTGTATTCACGTTGTCTAATCATAATACTGAAAATGATGACGTCATGATGCATTGCGACGTCACAATGGAACCTTCCAAAAATGATACCCAAAGTAAGAAAACCATCTATTAAAAAAAATAGTTAGTCGATGAAAAAGACACTACAGTAACCATTCTTGTGACATCATAAAAATACCTGAAATACAAAGTATTCCATTTTTGTTTGAAATATTCGGTGCAGTTATCTAAACATTTACAGCAGGTTATGGTAATTTCCCCCTCCTTCTAGAACCCATTATTAGCGATAGAGATACAAATATAGCTTTATTAGATATCCTTATTAACACCGAATAGTACTTTAATCGGGTGGTATAGATATTAAGTCATATTTCCTTATCTCTATTTGATGTAAATATGTCCTTATTATACTTCAGTTTAGGAAAGGAAGTGCTTTCTACTTTTCGGTGTATTATAACTACGCTAATCTTACTATGGCTTTGAAAAGGCCTTCAAAACGTGTCCCTCTTAATAAAGAAGTAAACGTTTAATGACAAAATTATAATTTAATAGACATTCAGCAAAATGTCAATGAGAAAGTCTGCAAAACACAAGAAACAAAACCAAAACAAAGTACGATGCATCACTGTAAATTTTATTGCACTTTCCACTGATGGATATCACGTCATGGGCAGGTTAAAAGCTCAATACACAAAAGTTACAAATAGACAAATGACAGATACAATTTTCAAATAACAACAGTGTCAAAAACAAAGTAAATAAACACCATTTTGAATATAAAATATTAAAACAAACCATTGTGAATATGTGAAAAGGACTGGGCGTATATACAATGTACAATATGTACTGATCATTGATGAATTCATTTGGTTTGTTTGTATCTACCTAGTTGATGCAATTTGAAGTAAAAACCAAACTAATATCTCTGTTCAAATTCGCGCACCCACTATACTTTAATTTTAAATAGACCACTTAGGTATTTATTACGCTTTGTCGCCTTGTCTTGACTTCTCAGATTGTCTTCCCTTTTCTTCTTCTCAAGATATTCATCAGTGAATGAACATTTAGCTAGCTTTGGACTGCAGGCCATAGGAGTTGACACCTCCACTTCCCTACACTGACCCATTGGAGCGTTCGGACAGAACACGATTAGCTTCCTTCTAATGAAGCCATCGGGAACACAGGCATATTTCATTTCGAAGTCTCTTGAATCTGGAACTTCTGCAGCCATTTTGTTACTGTACATGAAGTAAAAGTGAATTATGTATTTGATGCAAATTTCTCATTATGTCCTTTTTCACATAATTCCATGCTTAAAGTATTTTAGAAGAATACTTTTGTTTATGCTGTCACACATTTGTTTTAATTTTAGCATATAAGTGCATCGGTAAACTCACAATACATGCAATATAAAACTATAAACAGAAACTGCAATAAGCAAAATCATAATTTAGTTTAATATGCAAAAAGCGCTATAATAAGAATACCACTAAAATATGAATGTTTACAGTGTGTATTTACCTACGGTATTATACATGTTTACAGTGTGTGTTTGCCTACTGTATTATCTATGTTTACAATAGGCAAACACACACTGCAAATTTAGATAATACAGTGGGCAAACACACACTGTAAGCATAGATAATACAGTAGGCATACACACACTGTAAACATGTTTAATACCGTAGGCAAATACACACCGTAAACGTAGATTATACAGTAGGCGAACACACACTGTAAACATATATAATACCGTAGGCAAATACACACCGTAAACATAGATAATACAGTGTGTGTTTGCCTTTTGTATCTTCTATGTTTACAGTGTGCATTTGCCTACTGTATTATCTAATTTACAGTGTGTGTTTGCCTTTTGTATCTTCTATGTTTACCGTGTGTGTTTGCCTACCCTAGTATCTATGTTTACAGTTTGTGTTTGCCTACTGTAGTATCTATGTTTACAGTGTGCATTTGCCTACTGTATTATCTATGTTTACAGTGTGTGTTTGCCTACTGTATAATCTACGTCTACGGTGTGTATTTGCCTACTGTATTATCTATGTTTACAGTGTGTGTTTGCCTATTGTATTATCTATGTTTACAGTGTGTGTTTGCCTACTGTATTATCTATGTTTACAGTGTGTATTTGCCTCCTGTTTTAACTATGTTTACAGTGTGTGCTTGCCTAGCTGTATTATCTATGTTTACAGTGTGTGTTTGCCTACTGTATTGTCTATGTTTACAGTGTGTATTTGCCTACGGTATTATCTATGTTTACAGTGTGTATTTGTCTACTGTATTATCTATGTTTACAGTATTATTTGCCTACTGTATCGGTTATATTTCTTCCACTAAAGAGGACTACACAAAGAGATATTATATAAAGCAATTTGATTTGATTTACACTTGTTGGGGATAACTCAGTAATTTTGCAACACAATTGTACCTCATGTTCGTATATTTTCTGAGTCTTCCCATGAGAGTACAAAGTACATTGAACATTACTTTGTTTTAAAATAACACATCCTTTACTATCAACCTGTGTAAAATAACACACGGAATCTACATGTTTGAGAAAAACGACTTGCCGAGGAGGTATATGTATACAAAATTTTAGCTGTTACATATAAGCTTATTGTCAAAGGGTTGTTAAATAAACGCTAAATAATTGTCATAAAGCCGAATAACGTAACAACTTGAAAGAAAAGTGTAATGAAACAAAGCGTGAGTTTAAAAATAAACAGGATTAAAGATGTGACAACGACATATATCGCAGTTTATGATTTCACAAAAGACGATGTTTTTGTGGAAAGTGTGATATCAGTAAATTGTTCCATTATTTTAAACAGATTACATTTATGACTCATTATCTATAACGTTCGCGGAAAACAGGTGTTGTGGAAAGTGTGGCCTCGTAAACACTGGATTTGAACGATCAAAAACAAACCCAATACATACAAATCGAGCTGAAATTTAAACAAAAATATATCACTCACTTGCATTGTTGGTAATGGAAATTCTGGAGCTCTGGTTTGACAATTAAACAGACATCCCGGTTTCCCAGTGCTGATACGTTTGCTATGGCTATACCACCAACACGAATGGGTGTAGATGGGCACAAATCCCTGCAGTCGGTGAAATCTCTGCAAGACATTTTTTTTTATTAAAGCAACTTATTTCTGGTGGCATGCTATTCTATATAAAAAAAATACATTATAAATATGTCGAAAGAAAACGACAAAATAAAAGTACCTTAGAATTAGGTCAGCTTTGAAAATGAGTCTAGGTTTCCTTAATGAGAATTTAGATAAACTGCGACTTCCTAAGAAATAAGATATTTTCGTGGGTCCCAAATATGGTGGTTTGCCGACAAAACACCATTACATGAGTACGTGAATTTTACGAGTACCCACTCAAACAAAATAAAACTACCTTGGAATTAGGTCAGCTTTGAAAATGAGTCTAGGTTTCCTAAATGAGAATTTATATAAACTGCGACTTCCTAAGAAATAAGATATTTTCGTGGGTCCCAATTTGGTGGTTTGCCGACAAAACACCATTACATGAGTACGTGAATTTTACGAGTACCCACTCAAACATATATAATTACCCACGAAACCAACAAAATTACAACCCCACAAAAACGAGTGATTTTACAGTATATTTTGAGGTTTTAGAGTAAACAGATAATTTAATGGTGGGTAACAAAGACCACCAATCTAAGAGGAAATCCACCATCAGAAAACGCTAACACGCCATTCCACTAGGTCATAATATTTTTCCATGTTTCTTCAATTTCGTCTCATGATAGGACACTGAGGAAAACTGGTTTCAATCTTGATTATGTACATCATAGGCCAATTTTTATAGAAATGACACAACAGTGTATTTGCCATTTCAAATGTTTTACCATACATGTAGCTAACTTAAAAACACGTGTCAACAGATTTGTTGTAATTTTATAAAAGCTTTTATTTTGGTTTATGATCAAGAAATGTGTTGTTATTTTTAGTCGTTGATATGAATATGGTGCATAAAATAAGTTTGATAAATAAAAAAAATAAAAAAAGCGTTATAACATTTCATAACAAAAACATTTCCTGCCTTTTGTGACGTTAGGTGGGTTGTTAGTTTTGTGTAAAATTTATGCACGTGCCTTTTTGGTTGTCGATTGATATCTTTCGTATGTTTTGTTCAATTTTGACAGACGGCTAATTTATTCATCCTCTGAGTTCACCCGAACTTACCCCTCTCCTCGCATGTGTGGAAGCGCAGTTTGATAGCTTGAGTAGTTGTCCATTTTCTGGAGGAGATCTTGATGGCCTATGAATGCCTTCTCTATTTGAGGAAGGAGCCTGAAAAAAACCGAATATTCAAGTTATTTATTAAAGGATACATTATACGAACAACATGGCACTGTAGGCATTCAATAAAAATGGGGTATTTAGGTTTTCAATGAAGGTTAAACAGTAATGCCTAGTGAACTAGCTTTGCATATGAGAAAAGAGTCTCATTTATAGATTCAGATTATATGTATAAAATAATCTGCATCACAGACATTAATCGATCGGTTGATCTTTTGTAAATACTCATTACCTCACACAGCGTATAAAATATTTATAAATACTCATTACCTCACACAGCGTATAAAATATTTTGTAAATACTCATTACCTCACACGGCGTATACAATATTTGTAAATACTCATTACCTCACACAGCGTATAAAATATTTATAAATACTCATTACCTCACACAGCGTATAACATATTTGTAAATACTCATTACCTCACACGGCGTATACAATTTTTTGTAAATACTCATTACCTCACACAGCGTATAAAATATTTTGTAAATACTCATTACCTCACACGGCGTATAACATATTTGTAAATACTCATTACCTCCCACAGCGTATAATTTTTCTGTCTGAAAAACGGCAGTGCAATACACCTGGTTGGTTGTATAATAACTTTTCTTTCGTTTGTTTTAGTTTTAATAGTTTGATTAATTCGCCATTAAACGACTGCATATTGTCAACTATATGACACCTACCTGTTATATATGTTCCGAACAACATCCTCAGGGAACATGATCCGCCAGTCCCAAATTTGATATCTCAGTAGCTCCCTTTCGCACTGCTCCTTGTTAGTTTCAATAATCCCTGGCGCATTTAGTATCACCTCTTGCCCTTGAGCCGCCACCAGCAGGGAAGCTAACACCAACAATAGCTGAGAGAGAGAAAAAACAACATTAACACAATCAAGCTATAATGTATTCAACAAAAAAATCAACTTTCAACTTTTTTTCAATATAGCTGAAACGATTTCGGCACCACCAAGTAACAAGTAACAACACCAAATAACGCCAAATAGATTTAAATATTTTGTATTTTATTTAAGAATACAAACATTTGGAAAATGATAAAAACTTGATTTGTGTGTGTTTGTGCTTTAGCTGTAAATAATAATTCCAAGCTTTTTGTGACATATTATGTATATTCCTTGCATTTCTTTAAATGTGAAATTGAATTATAAAAGTCCTTTATAAATATTTTAAAAAATTGGATTAAAAAATGTGTTTTTAATATTTCAATCATTCTGCTAGTTTTGTACTAATCATTTACATCATCGTGATTATGGTAACGATTATTGGTAACATGAATGTCCCTTTTAAACCACACTATATTAGTGAATAATCCTGTATATCCTGTCATTTTTTATGTTTTGCTATATTAGCATATATGTATATTTCACTGTAATGGTATTTAACCCTTGATAAGAAATACTTGTTGGACATAAAAGTTTTCAGTACTTAATCTTAGTTTTATGAATTTAAGTTATTTTGCTACCTTTCCGTGGTTATGTATGTGCTGCTTTGCTTGTGTACCTTGTTTTACTTTTTAATTTGCCTCTGTGATATTTGTTTGTCTTTAACTAGTCTTTGTTATTACCTGTTTAATTGCCTCTGGGATATTTGTTTGTCTTTAACTAGTCTTTGTTATTACAATGTACCTGTTTAATTGCCTCTGTGATATTTGTTTGTCTTTAACTAGTCTTTGTAATTACCTGCACGTGATTGTTATTATACTCCATGTTTGTCGCAAGAACAGCACTACAGTGTTAATGTTTTATAGTTTCAAATATGCGACGTTAAATAAAAATTATTTTATATCGATCCTGTATCTTGGTATACTTTCATTTTGAATTCCAACTGTTTGCCTCTGGTATCATTGATGAGTAATAGAAAGACAAAATAGCTGAATGTTGCAGTTTAATTCACTAGGTAGGTGCATGTTACATTCGTCTTTTAAACATGATTTTGTTTATGTTAGTCAAATGGGGAACCATGCATATTAAAAACGTACATTAGGGTTTTTGAATGTTATATTAAAATATGATATAGTGTATCACTGGTGTATAATCAATCAATCAACTATCTCCAATCACCGTCAGACGTTTCAAGTCGAAGGAAATACCTTTATATCTCTAAGTAAGCGATTACAATATGACATAATGATAATAATTATATATATTATATAACACGTGTCTAAATAGTTGTCTCAAAAACGATCAGATATGTTCATGTCGAAAAATATTATCATACACAGATTTATCAAATGTAAATAAACAAAATCAAGTAGGAAATAATGAAAATAAAATAATGAATTTTTAAAATACATCTATGAAAATATATCAACTTGCATGAAATGACAGTATTTATCTGTCTATATTAAATATATATCGGTAATCTTACCTTCATTTTCAGTTGAGCTGTGTTAGATTCTTAAGAGTCAATACAGACGGCGTTCCTATTTATACTCTCTCCACGAGGAAACACGAGATCTTAACCAATCACTGCTCGTCTTACAACTGACGGTGGCCATACCTGATGACATCACAGCTGACCTGTTTGAAGTCTCATTGTGAATTGTTTTATAGTTCTCGCCTGTCATTTCTGAATAACGAGATGATAGTTGATTACCTGTGTGGTTTTCACCTGTCATCTAGGCCGCGAAGCCAGGTAAAACAGCTAACAGTTATATACCGTTAATGCAATATGTCTACCAAATATAAACAGGTATGACGTCAACAATATACGTACTGTAACGACAAATGAAAAAAGAAAAAAATATGTTTTATACTTTCAAATGAGACTGTTTTGTTTGTTTTACGCGCGAATTGCATATTAATTAGTTATCTCAAGCAACATAGGATTTCGCTTCCTTGAATAATTTCTCTTGATAAAGACAACGCTGTTATGCGCATTTCAGGAGCAACTCGTCTGCAGGGTTTCTCAGAAAGGAAAAAAATCACAAAATTGATGAATAAACAATTCTTTGAAAACAAAATAAGAAATAAAATGCAATTGTAAAATCTTTAAAAAAGACTTTGTTGTTTTAACACATCAATGAATATATTAATTTTAAAATATACCCCAATAGAGAAAATATACATACATTTAAAACAAAACTTATATATAATTGACACAGTGAAGTGTTTAAATTATTTTTGTTATGTGAAGTGTCTTACATTTTCCCGAATACCAGAAGTGTTAACTTTATTCCTTACAATATTTTCATGCAATAATTTAACAACACATTGAGATATATATCTTAAAAGTAATTTCATTCGGTCATTCCAAATACACAAATAATGAATACTCCAAAGTGAAAAGAGCGACACCTTTAATTTGTCGTTAACGCTTAATCAACTTCCACGTGCAGTGGCGGATCCAGAGGGGTTTTTTGGGCTTCAGGAAACCCCCCCACCCTGAGAATTTTCTTTAAAAATCATGTATTTTCACCATTTTCCTCAATTTTTTCCAACATGGAAACCCCCCCAGGAAATTTGGAAACCCCCCCAGATAGGTCTCTGGATCCGCCACTGACGTGCGCCCCTACGTCTTCTAAAACGTACGAAGATTGTCGGGTGGCGCAGTGGATAAAGCTCTCGCCTATAGCTATCTCCAAGGCGGTTTGGGTTGTATTCCCCGATCGGACCGAGAAAAGGAATGGGGCCACCTGCCCGTTCACGTGGGTTTTCTTCTGGTACTCCAGTTTCCTCCCACATTAGGACCACCAGCGTTATAATAACTTGTTTCATAATTGTTGTAAAATAAATATAAAGTTTATATTTATAAAACTCACGTAGCTTAAACCAATCCTACTCTTCTTTTAAAGGCTAGGATACCAAATACCAAAGCGAGATATACTGTACATTGAAACGCTTGTTTTTTCTCTTAAATGTTTTACGACGCATTACTTTCAGACTCCATTAACTTATTAGCAAAAAATAACAACAACGATATCAAAGTTTGTCATCAGTTAAGGGAAAGATATGTCAAAATGATATTTTTATTAAATTTATAACAACAATGAGTTAACAACAAGCATGGAACACTTCAGTTTAATTCTCAAGCTGGAATTGGTTGAAATTCGAATCAAGCGTAAAAATCATCATAGCATGAACACATATGTACTGATCTAAATTAACGGGATGCAAAATTAGAATATTCCCTCATCCTCGATATCCAGGGTGTAAGCTCACTTTCGCTCTTTGCACCCCTTGAATATGTCATAGCAAAATATAAGGCTCAATGTGCAGCACCATGGGGATTGGACGAGAAGGCTAGTTTGATCCTTTGATCAAAATAATCTCGCGGTCGCGATATAACTCCTGGATATCAAGGATGATTCCAGGAGTGCAGAGATCAAAAGGAGCGTAACCTCTGGATATCGAGGATGATTCCAGGAGTGCAGAGAGCGAAAATGAGCCTAACCCCTGGATAAAGAGGATGATTCCAGGAGTGCAGAGAGCGAAAGTGAGTGTAACCCCTGGATATCAAGGATGATTCCAGGAGTGCAGAGATCGAAAGTGAGCGTAACCCCTAGATATCAAGGATGATTCCAGATGTGCAGAGAGCGAAAGTGAGCGTAACTCCTGGATATCAAGGATGATTCCAGGAGTGCAGGGAGCGAAAGTGAGCGTAACTCCTTGATATCGAGGATGATTCCGGGGGTGCAGAGATCGAAAGTGAGCCTAACCCCTTGATATCGAGGATGATTCCAGGGGTGCAGAGATGGAAAGTGAGCCTAACCCCTGGATATCGAGGATGATTCCAGGGGTGCAGAGATCGAAAGTGAGCGTAACCCTGGATATCGAGGATGATATTCCCTATGCATCATATTTTAAATAACTCATAGCTGTATAATCATTTACAACATCATAGTATTCTCGGATTGAAAATACGAGGCACGGATTACTCAGACGTTATGCGCGATGTTGGTGACACCTTGTGTAACGTAAAATGACGTCGTTTTTATGGTATATGACGTCGCTTTTTAGATATTTTATCATATATTTTTTTGCATTATTTTGTATGACCTTCTTGTATATGCTACCGTGCGGGAAAAGAAGATTGGTCAACATGAGCTCATAAACTTTTTTTATAATCGTTTTGAAATAAATAAAGTTTAAAAGTTGGCCGGGATTAGAAGGAGAAGATAGATGTGAGGTTGTGGACAGGCTTATATTCTAAAAATCGTTTCCATCGTTTCAGAACGAGTCGGTTGTCCCATTTAAAAAAAAAATTGCTGTACATACGTCAACAGAGAATAAGTATCACTGTCAGATATATGCTGCTTTGACTACAATTCTATTTATTAGTGTTGACTTTATCCACTTAGTGTTTCGAAAATTATAATGATGCATGAAATTTTACTCGAAATGATAAAATTGCCTCAAGATTTCTGCTGATGTTTGACACTTTAATATTGTTACGCAACGATATTCCCGGTACGTCGCCTAAGTGGGACATTTTACGGAAATTGAAAAGTGTAGTGCGATTTTTTCGTTATTGATCCCATAACAAAAGTGAAAAGTGTTTCATTCTATTCAGTCAAGACACATTCTTAGTATGACAAAATTATTTTATACGTCATCAAAGTTTCAATTTATGCAAAATGTACGTCAAAAACAACTACTGGACAAATTTCGGAATGTTTAATTTTGCCTGTATACAAGAAAACGTTCTTAGTGATAAATACTTTTCTTTTTTCTTTGCATGATAATTTCGACCAAGACACATTACAAATATAACTTTATATATCTCAAATATCTGTCAATATCCTCCGGTCAACAGGATAGATTCATACCCAGCTACCTGCTGGGTTAGCGTTACCTTCCTTGCATAGCGGTTTGGAGAAGATTCGGTAAATATGCCAATCACTAATCCCAATGAAAGTTTTGACGTCATTTGTGACGTCAATTCTGCTTCCGTAAATCTTAATATATAGAATTTCTCTGAAACGTCTTACCCCACAGATGTTACGGGTTACATGAGTTTTTGTAACGTTTTCGAGGTTGTGTAGGTGAAACAGAATTGTTCATGTTGTGTTATACTATCCATAAATAGTATAAGACGAATGAACTTGAAAAAACATTTTTTGCGATATATAATATGACATCAAG